AACCCAGCACGCTTGGGTTCCTTCGAACCTAGTGGCTAGGAACCTAGGCGCGGGTTCCATCGAACCCAGATCCTGGGTTAGGGCAAAAAATTAACAAAAATTTTTGTTTTTTCGGTTTTGGTTGTTTGATGATGATGAAAAATTGATTGATGAAGATGAAGAAGGCAAGGCAAGGCAAGGCAAGGCAATCGCTGGGTTCTTGCAGGTGTTGGGTTCGAAATCAAACCCAGCAGGCGCTGGAAATCAAACCCAGCAAGCATTGGGTTCTATTTCAAACACAGCAAGTGCTGGGTTCGATTTCAAACCTAGCAGCTGATCGAACCCAGCAGTTGCTAAGTTTGACTAGCTGTTGTGTTCCTGCAGGTACTGGTTTCCGTTTCGAACCCAGCAGCCGTTGAGTCAATGGATCTGTTGAGCTTGATTTGGTTATCAATTTGTTGTCTATTGTGTTATCCTCGAATTATTGCAGGTGCTGGGTTTGATTTCGAACCTAGAAGGTAATCAAACCTAACAAGCGCTGGGTTCTGTTTCAAGCTATTGAGTCAAAGGATCTATTAAGTTCAATCTCTTGATTTGTTGTGTTATCCTTGAATTTAATATTATGAGGTGTTAGGGTTTGTAGAAGGTGAAAGGAAAGGGAGAGGAAGAAGAAAGGGAAAAAGGAACAACAAAGGAATAAAAAAAAAAAAAGGAAAAAGAAAATTTTTAAGGTTTTTTCTTGTCTATCTCATTTTTTTGCCACATTGTACATCCTAGGTGTCAAAATGCTTTTACATGTCGTCCTTTTCTCGTCAAGTAACGAGACACATAGGTGGATATTTAATAGAAGGACCAAATCAGGGATTTTTTTAGTTTAGGGATCAAATCAGGGTCTGTACAATAGTTTAAGGACCAAAATGAAGTTTTAACCTAATAATAATTGCTTTTTTTTTTCTTTTTTTTTTTGTTCGAAACATCCAAACGAAGCACATGCATCTGATGAAACTGGTCCAAAGGACTCGGATTTTATTTATTTTACTTTATTTCATTGTTCCCCAACACAATGAAATTATCCGTAGAGTAGTGCAGCAAAATAAATCACGCATTCATCTCATCTTGACCAAAAATGGAGAAACCACAATTGGTGATGGTAAAGCCTCCATCAATGATCAAACTGTGCCCACTCACGTACTTGGACTCATCGCTCGCCAAGAAAAGCGCCGAGGCTGCCACATCCACCGGCTCCAGATTTGCCCCCTTCAGATTCTTATACATGTTAAGGCACTCTTCATCATCCATCTTGAAGAAGTTCTTAGCCAACGGAGTTGGTACCAGGTACGGTGACACACAGTTCACCCTGATCCCATACTGTCCCAGCTCCACCGCAGCATTCCTGGTCAGCCCCAACACGCCGTGCTTTGAGCTGGTGTAGGCGTGAGGGGCAACGCCGCCTGTAACTGAGCAGATGCTGGCGGTATTGATTATGCTGCCGCGACGAACCGGTTTCATCACGCGTGCCGCGTGTTTTGTCCCCAGGAAAACTCCCGCGACGTTCACCCTGAGGACCTGTTCGAACTCGGAGATGTCGTTATCCAGAATGTCGGGTTTCGCAACACCACCAATACCAGCGTTATTGAACATAATATCAAGCTTCCCGAACTTAGACACAGTGGTATCGACCACATTTTTAACGTCCCCTTCCTTGGTCACGTCGCAGTGGACAAAGGAAGCAGATTCAGGGCCGATATCGTTGCAGACGGATTTGGCTAAATCGTCTTGGATGTCGGCGATCACCACTTTTGCTCCATGCCTGGTGAAGATTCTTGCGGTGCACTCACCAATACCGCTGGCACCGCCGGTGATGATTGCAACCTTCCCTTCAAGCCTGAGTCAGCTAGCATATCGAGGCTTACCCTTTAAAAGTTGTTTGTAATTTCATCATCAGATTTTTTATTAAGAGTAACATACCTTCTTACAGCTGCTGAGAATAAGGAGGAAGCCGCCATAGCCACCAGACCTCTGAAACACTCAGAAAAATATTGCTAAAAACAGTAGAATTAATAGCTGAGAAGCATTATTACTCTCGCGGATACTTTGGTCTTCTTTTGTAGTCATTAATTTCTCTATCAAAATGAGAAAATTTATCTTAAAATAATTACTCATGTGAAATTAATTTTTGGTTTTTTTATCCTTTGCTTCATTATTGAGGTTATTAGTGTATTTGTTATAATCGATTTTAAATTAAAGAAAAAATTAAATAAAACATTCACTAATGAAATCATTCACTCCATAGCCTAAAATATCAATGGATTAATTGGACGAGAATAAAGATGGAGTCCCATTCTACATGTCTATATCAACACCGACAACAATGAAATTTACAAGTAGGAAAAAAATCTGTCTGACTTTAAAAATCATGAAGGTTCAACTATAAAAAATAATTGTTCTAAATTTGATAACTCTTCAATGTATTCTTACAAATCAGCACCTTATTCATGTGTGAAATTATAATTCTTGGTACGGGGTCTTTTTCACATAAAAAAGGGGGTCCTTTGTTACCATTGGGGATAATATTCCCGCAGCACATTATTCATGTGTCGAATTATAAGTCTTACAACCGAAACTGGTTTAGTGGCAGAATGGCCATGTCATTTCATAGGATAAAAAAATTGGGCTACGAATCTGGCCCAAAAATTGAAATGCTCTTTCTGGTGTTTTACAGTACCTTTTATCTCAGCTGCCAAATTCTGCCTCAGTGTTCCGGATGAAAATCCCACACTTGACTCTGTGTTATGTCATTATTTTACCATTGAGGATAATATTCCTGCAGGACCAAACAATGAGGGAGATGTGACTCTGAACTTATGTTATCTTTTGTTTTTGTTTTT